GAAGAAAAACTTGGCTCAAAAAAGAGAGCCCCTCATCGTATTCATAGTAAACTACCCATCCATTTACACCTATAAAAAAAGCCGGACCGCTGGAATACATTTCCTCATTTCCAGAAAAAAAAAACAGAACGCCCGTCCTAAAAAGCTCATGACAAAGGACTGGAAACTTTGAAACCCGTGAATCCCAGTTCTATCTAGTAAGTAGTAGTTACCAAACCAAAAACAACAATAAAAACAGCATGTACGTGTATATAACTTGCGCTCGCTAGAAAACATCAACAACAACAAACGAACGAACGTATATCTCTCTAGTTCGTCTTTTCTCTATACAAGCCTGTAGGACCCGCAGTAAAAGCGCCACTGAGAATCCTCTTAAGCTGCTCCGGCCGCGTCTCCGTTACAACGCGGTCACCATTCGCACTTGCGGTACTGCGGCGACTCAGCATAGTGCCTGTGCGGGTAATACGATCGGTACTATAGCTGAGACCCATATCCACAGCGTTGCTACCGCGACGGGCCCTTCGAGTCGCCTCTTCGTTTTCCTTCTGGTACCGAGTTTCCGAGGGGAGCAAGATAGCGCGGTCAAGTGCGTAAGGGAGACCACGGTGGCGGCCGCGGATTTGCATGGCGATGATGATGAGTTTAGATAGAGGTTTGAATTGTGCGGAGAAGGAGGCGTTGGTGCCAGGGTAGCCCTGGCTGAGGCCTACGGTGCCGTAGGCGGAGACGATTTCGAAGAGGACGGAGAAGAGGGAGAAGGCGTATTCGTTTGTATTTTCGAGGCGGGCGCCTTCAATGATGGCGATGAGGAAGAAGCCGAGGAAGACGAACCAGAGATCGAAGGAGAGTTGGCGGCGGAGGTGGTGGGAGAGGTAGCTGGATTTTGCGTCATCGAGTTCGTTGTCGGCCCAGACGCCGAGGGATTTTTCTTCGTAGACATTGGACTGACGGATCGACATTGCGATGGGGAAGATGGAGATGTACATCATGATTAGGTAGCTGACTTGGACGGCCGGGTGCAGGTCGGCGATGTTGACGACGGCGAAACCGGCGGTACGGGTCGAAGCAGCTTGGAAGAGACCGGCGAGGAAGCGGTGGCCGCCGGAGAGGGATGTAACGGTTGGGTCGTCGAGATCGAGGATGATGAAGAAGATGAGATCGACGCCATTGAGGATAATCAGGATCCAGAAGAGCCACCAGTTCGCCTGGCTGGGGAACAGTAGCGTGAAGCATCGACGGGGGTGGTCGAGCAAAAAACGAAGTTCCTCCCAAATACCACTGCCCTTGGGCACCAACTTGGAGTAGATCCAGATTGTGAATCGAAGCATACAAGGGAATCCCGTGTTTCCGATGATGATGAGGAAAGTACCAATAAGCAGAGGCCAGACCGTCAATTGAAAAGAGACCATCGAGTCTGGAGTGAGAGTAAATCCTAGATCGTTGAACAGAGATGCAGAGGTGAAGAAGCCCCACCAAGTCGGGTGAATACCAACTTTCTCCACAACAGCGCTGTACCTGGGACTATGCGAGATCCATGGCGCCAGAGAGATGACGCCAACAATGTGCCAGCCAAGGTAGAAAACCGTAAGAATGACTGCTAGCAATTTCAAAGCCCGGTACTCGATACCGCCCAGCTCTTCTCTTTGCTCTTCAGTCAAATCAACAAAGTTGGAATTGCGTCCTAGGGTAGGTGTCCAGCTGAGGTAGGGCATTGGATCCTCTTCTTCATCCTTAGTCCTAGAAAGGAAGCTTGCAAGAGTCCTTGAGCGCGATCTGTTGCGGAGATGCATCGATGCTGAAGGTCCACTGGGGTCGACCTCGTTTGTTCTTGATCGGTCGTAGACAGAATGTCCGTTGGGTCGTTGTCTATCGGGGACGTCGATGGTAATGTGATTCTTCAATTGTCGGTCGTCTCCGTTCAAAGCAAAAGGTAGCGAGTTGGAGCGCTTGTTTTTCGGGACTGGGGTTGCACGAGAATCCTGCGATATCCTACTCGTGACTCGATCGAGTTCTTCCTCGCCCTCGACTGTTTCTGGAATAAGACCCTGATCGAAATCGCGCGGGCCTGGAATGCGCAACTTGTTCCGTGTGGTCGGGTTACGCTGAGCCTCCACAAAAGCGATACTCCTTTCTTTGTTGATCTCGGGAAGCCGGCTGCCAGGAGACTCTTCTACGGAACTTCTGATTGGTTTCTGATTTGCAGGTGTGTTGAGATTATCCGCCCATACAATGCCCGCTGGCGCATTTTGCGACGGAGTCTGTGGCCGAAACGGTGGCATGTTATCTTCACTCGAACTCGACCGCCGTCTGGGACGAATGCCGTTGCCGGTAGAATCCAGTCCGTCGCTAAACGCGTTTTCATTCTCGATAGTGCCGCCATGCGCATGTCCATTGGAGCTCCTCATGACGCGGATTTCGCGTGAGCCAACCGCCTGCTCTTCTTGTCCCGGATCCGCGTCATTGTTTTTCTTCGCCTCGCTCTTGCGCCTCGACAGTGTTCGCGTCCGCCCGCTCCTGCTACCCCTTTCCAGCACAATGTTCTGAAACCGCTTTTCGAACCAGTATAGACGGACGACGACGACGGAGCTGTGGATGAAGATGGGCGTGCATAGACATGTCATGAGATATAGCGTGATCTGCAGTTGGTCAGAAAAATGTTGATCTCCCAGTATTCCGGTCGTGCGCGCGTACCTGCTGATACAAATCGAGGTTATTGATATCAATTCTACAACGTCTGTCAGTTTGTGATCACCATACGCCCAAGACTTTGTTACATACGTGTTTAGACCACTCTGTGTTGCTGCGCCGCTGGCAAAGAAGAGGGCATCGATATATGGGATGCGCCCATTGCCATACATGATGACGGAGCCGATGAGCGTCCATGAGACGATGTATCCATCTGCCGATTCGTAAGTATACACGTTAATCTTTTTCTTTGATCGCATACATACAGTGAAGGGTGATGAAATTGGCATGTGGCGTGAGTGCCTTCAGCGACGACGGCGTGCGCTGCTTCAGCCATGCGAAGAAGGACAACCAGGGGCCGAACATGATTGCCCTGCGAGCGCCCTATAGGCGAAAGGAAATGCGTGACTACAGAAAAGCCGTCGGATGTCGATCCTCCCGTCGTACAGCAAATAAGAAAAGCAAGAAGAACAAAAAAGAGTTCCGGTCTAGTCACAAAGGCGACGGAAACAGCCAGTTATGATGGGGGGACAATGCGCGGACAGCAATGAAAGCTGAGATGGTCAAGCGTTCGTTAATCAGCGGCGGCGGTGGCAGGAGGAGAGCATCACATCAACGGACCGACCCGATAGCGCGTCGCAACAAAGGACCGTCTAAGAGCATTGTGGGTAACGGACATGGTTCCTTGATATAAAAAAAAGGGGGTGTGGAGAGGGCAGCGGGCGAAGAAATTCCAAACCACGGTTGGGTGGAAACCGGGGTTGGTTCCAGACGAACATTGCGAATGGAATTCCCGGCTTATCGCGGTGTGAGGCGCGATGATGCCAAGGGGCGTCTGAAGGGCGTCGAGCGCGCCCAGGCCTTTGGGTCTTCGTATGCATCGTGCATGCGGCCCCGGGAAGTTTTATTATGCCCACTTACCCCTGTATTGGGGACTTGCAGAGTAAGTACCGTGGTGTTACGCCGCACTTTTACAAAACTACTGACTTAGTACTCTCCTTACACACGACGTACGCGCTACTGTACGTTGTGGTACTGTTATTATGAGCTACACAACGACCATGAATGCTGCCTCCCCCCATCCATCTTCCATCCAACAACCACGTGCGAACAAATTCCCACTCCACCACCACAAAAAAAAACCACGCATGCTAAACCACCCCCTCCACACCCACTTCAACCCCTCGTATCATGCACCTCGACACTTTGGAGCAAACCAACCTAGATGTGTTGTCACATCTCACCATATCTCCCATCTGCCGTAGCCCATCTGCCGCCGCCCAAATCCCTCTATCCTCGCCTATCCCGCATATTCCGTATTTCTCGCCATCTCATCCTTACCTCTGACATCACACGCCTCCCATTCGCCAAACAAACTTTCCAGCCAACCCTGCCAACACCAATGCCCAGCCCCAGCCCTAGCCCTAAACCCTTGAAACAAAACCACCTCACCTCACCGCACGCCTCTTCTCGCTTTCCCAAGCAACACTCTGTGACACCCGTTGCATCGGCTCAAGATTGCTGTAAGCACACGCACAAGCACGCGAAAGTGGGTACCACCATCTGCCCCTTACAATGCCTATGTTTTTTCCGTGTGGCGCAGCAATACCACCGACCACCAACTTACTCGACCTGCGCCACACCGCCCATTCCCTCTCTCATACTCTCTCGTAAGTACCGTAACCACGGGATCCGATAGGCCGGCTTATCTCTCCCTTTCATACAACACACATGTCCATATAGTACCATAGCTTCACCGCCTCACAAAACGCCCAAACAAACGCGTAAATGTATAAGCCTCAACAACTAACCCGGGTGCTATGCCCACTCGGATCGCCGGTATCAGTATCCGCGGCGCGGAGGGGGGGTTCGGAAGCGGCAAGTGCCCTGTTCCGGGAGAAAGGAAACAACAAAAGGGTCATAGCTGTGTGTGTATGTGTAAAGTGCGTGAGAGGCGTGTGTGTGTGCATATAACCTCGGATGAACACGTCATGTAAATACTTGTGTAAGTATGCTTCCGATGTGCAAGTCGGACCGTAGCCTTTTACATATTACTATGACTAAGCAGCTTTGAATAACTAGTTATCTCTCATCACTAGAATGGGGACTGGTATGCCAAGCTCTTGGTAAAATGTACGTCTTGCAATAGCCCAGTGGGATGCAGCATCCCCAACAGGAGATGCTATGCATGGACTTTGTCGTTTGTTATCAATGATATTTTGTTGCCTAGTGGCATTACTATCAACCAGGATGGTATCAATTTCGAAAGAAAAAAAAACAGTATTGGGATCACGCTATGTAGCGTAACCCCCAAACTACGTTGTAAGCACATCTAGCTGCGAACAAATAGCCGTAAACCACCATACGAGCCTTGCCGTCCGAGGAATTTCCTTCCAATCCGGCTTCTTCTCCTCGCCGTCGTTGCAAATGACCTTTACATAAGGACGAAGTTCCATATCTCCACAGAAGAAATACATGGGTCCTGTTAGGTCGAAATCCTCCTCATCGCAATCGAATCTGTACTGTCCTAGTGAAATCTGGTGGTTTTCATAGGAGAGCAGCATTCCCACGGTCGGCTTGTGAGATGTTTTGTTATTTATAAACATGCGTACGTGAGTTACTCCAGAGAGACATGCAGAGGACACGTACCACTGCGGTATCCAATGGTTAGGGAGGGTATACGCGGCTTGGCGAGGTGGACTGGGTAGCGGCCCAACTGGCTTCTCTTTGTGGGTAATACCAATCTTTGTTTGTAGTGATGATCCAGTCGTTTTGTTGTTATAGCAGAATCCCGTGATTCGATAGGCATTCTGTTTAACCAGAGGCTCATACCGGTATAGATGTTCGTTTTCCCTCGGCACATAATTCCCAAAGGTACAGGTACGCTCAAGGGATGTGTTGACCTATTTCAACATATAAGACTCTTATACACACACAAACGGATATGCTATTTACCACGAGAGCAGGTTGGCGAATGGATAAATCATTGTCCAGCTCACGAATCCACGCAGCAGTAATGACCTCGCCCTTGGAAAGAGGAAAACAAATGTATGCCACGCGATCTGGAAATGCACTCCAGGTTTGAGAATAGTTGTAGGGTTTACCACTGTGGCCATAGGTTTCAAGGTGCACGAAACCTTCATGACCGCAACCAACGATTATTCCTTGTGTGTCGTCGTTGAGCCCCACATATCTCATGCGTTGAGGAAGAGACGGTTCGGTCTTGTGAAAATACCATGTAGATACTTTAGGTTGAGATGAAAATTGGCAATCCCAATAGGGATTCCAAAATGGCTCACGTGTGTTTGCTGATTCGACATCCACAATGATATTCTGACAATGTCAGTGATGGAATTAGTAATATTGTAATTCATACCTTGGTGCAAATGCAAAGTTCTAGTTTGTCCGCCTCGGCCTGAATCAGTCTGTACCAGAGGCCAGGTCGTGAGTATCGGAAGTGACCTTGGAAGTTTATGTCAAGTATACCTACTTCATCCCGAGTTACAGCAATAGAAAGGACGTTTTGGCGTTTGACGATTGTATCTTCTTGCAAGGCAATACTCGTTGCATAGCGGTGTCCTAGGAAATTGGAGTAACGAACCATAGCTGGCTCTCCTGCAAACGTTATGAGGTCGGTGTGGTTGCTCTTCTGACTCTTTGCGAATTCTAGTAGGGACTGGCCTTCCCCGGCGATTATCGCTGGTTTTCGTAAAGCACATGGCCACGATAACCCTGCGATATCTAATACAAGCTCTGGTGGTAGTCTTTCAACAACCAACCGGAGGAAATTTCCAAAGCTGTCTTTTGCTGTGTGCGCGAACAGTGCCGATTCTGAACGAGGGAAATATTCTTCGTAAGCATGTTTTTCTCTCTCGATGTTGTGGCGATCGAGAAAGTCCAAATCGTCGGGCCATAGTTCTAGCAGGTCCCGAAGTCGTAGCCGTTGTGATTCGGGAAAGAGACGGCGGTAATATTGATAGCAATCACGATGAATGCAGTGAGATCTCGGACCTCTAGTTAACGAACAGTGATAACAAACTGTTTTTTGGCAAAACAATCGTCTGCACAGGGGAAACAAAGGTTGCTGGGTGTCATGTAAGGCTTTCGCTAGTAAGTTATCTGTCTTGGAATTTGAGAAATACATACCCGCTGCGACGTGTTCATCTGGCTGGACAGCACAGTGACACAGCAAGCACGTTGGTTGACCCTCGTGATGGAACATAGCAGACTGGTGAAGAGTGCATGGTAGACAGTTCCTTGGTTATGTAGTACTTGACTATGATTCGTTAGGTAACCCCCGCTTCAGTCTAAGCTACGTAACCAATCAACTTCTTCAATACTAAGCAGCGAGTTATGATAAGTAAGTGTGGGGTAGAGTCCACCAATCACAAAATAATGATGCACAAGTGATTGTTCATCATGTCTATTAACGTGAGCGAAGAACGCAAAAGAAAGGGAGAATAAAAAGAGTATTGTGTAGATACTACCCATTAAATCACTGTCGAATGAACATAGATTTAACTCATCGTTGGGAGATATCAGTATCACTAAATGTTATAATATTCTACCTGTAAAGAGAGGCTACCACACATATATACTACAATTTGTTACGGTTACCCTGATTTCCTTATGCCCTAACTGGGCCTGTTCTAACCTAGGTAGATCCATGGCTAAATTATCCGAGTCACTCTCCTTCGGACACAATTGACCCGTAGCCTCACTATTATCCGAACCCCGCGTGGATAAACACAAAGTTATGGTAGTCATTTATAGCTGAATGTATGTCGAATATGAGCATAGCAAACAAACCTCTTGTTCATGATTATGTTTGGCTGCCATGAAGCTATCCACAACTTCGTGTCTCGCGTTGGCCACATGCGCTAGTATCGCAGCAGCGACACCGGTATCTCCGAGTACCAAAAAGACTACTTTCGACTGGTCTACCATCGACTCTCTGATAGCTCTTGGCGACAGCTACACATTCATTCAAGGCACCCTCGGCCACCCCAACTACTCCTTCATCGGCGACGAATTAAATCTACCCTTTACACCCGCGCAACTCTTTTCCAACCGCATTGTGCAGAACCTTACCGGAACAGCAGAAGGTGGACCTAACTGGGTCGAGTTTCTGACTGACTGCGGTGTAGAAGACGGGCTACATGATCCGCAAGAATGCGACATCCAGCTTTGGGACTTTGCTTACGCAGGCGCCAACACGATTGAGGAAGCTGGCTTCACACCACTTCACCATAACCACACTGTTTCACTGGAGCGCCAAGTCGAGCAATTCATTTCCTACAGTAACCCCGCGCTCAAATCTATTCATTTGGATAAGAAGCACGCGCTGGTAGCCGTTTGGATCGGTATCAACGACATCAACGATCTCGTCGCTACACAGGGTAGAAACGCTACTTTTGCGCCAGCCTATAAGAAAGTGCAGAAAAACGTTTTCAAGAATGTGGAAAAGGTGTACGAGCTGGGATATAGGAACTTTTTGTTCATGAATCTCCCGCCTTTGGACCGTGGACCGGGTACACCTAACGTCAATGCGTCGCTTGTGGACTTATTCAACAATATCCAGGCCAGCTACGCAGACGGGTTTGCGGAAAAGCATTGCGATGCGGCGGTTCTGCAATTCGATGTTAATACTGTTCTGAATGATGTGTTGGATCGATATCAGGAGTATGGGTTCAAGAACGTGACGGGGTATTGCCCGGGGTACAATCAACCAGATGTTCTGACTGACCCAGGAAAATATGGATGCACGGAATTAGATACCTACTTTTGGTATAACTCAGGGCATTTGACCAGCCGGACGCATGCGATTATGACGGATGTTTTGGGAAAGTGGCTACGAGAGCAATCACATGAATAGTTGTTTGTAGCAAACCAAAAGTTAATTTTCTTATGGATTGACTTGGTGATGCAACGTAGATTAAACCCAGTATCTGATCAAGTCTACGCGGCAAGGTCAATAGTTTTGTATTGACTAAACACCATCACTGTATACAGCGCATCAGCAAACCGAAACCCCCCCCCCCTCTCACTCCCTCACAAACTTCCCAAAAATATGAAGGTCATCAGTAGTCCTCCACTTGCCCGCAAGCCATATGCCATCACCGTCCCAAACATGCACCGCCAGCTCCTTCATACCGCACTTGACCATAACGCGTCTACTAGCCGGATTCTCGCCATTCACAATCGCCCGAACAAACACCTTTTGGTAGTTGTCCCAGAACTTTTGCTCGCGTTGGCAAGCGTCGAGGACTTTTGTTACGGATTGTGTTGCGAATCCTTTGCCCCATGCGGCTGGCAGGAATTGGTATCCAAGCTCGACGGCTAGACAATCAGGGGAGTGGACTGAGTCAGGGAATATATGAGGTGGTAAAGGGAGACTGCCCTTGTCGATGGAGCGGAGAGTGATGAGTCCGATCATTCGTGTGGGGATGTCTTCTTGACTGGCTGGGTTGCTGTTTGGAGCGAGTAGTTCATGGACGGCGTAGACGGCCCGGTAGGATTTCTCTTCGCCGTCGTTGGTTGTGGTTGGCAGTGCTCCTTTCATGGTCTTCTCGGTGTCTTCGATTGTCTTTGACCGGCCATAGATACTTTTTGGAGGATTAGTTTCGGTCCTTTTTGGAAATTTGGCTTTATTGTATAGAATAAGAGCAGACAAAGGTCTAGTGTGCAGAGAAGATAGGCAGTGACTACTTACCTCCACCATGTAGCTTTTTCATCGCTGCGCAACTCATGTAGCCATTCAAGTTCTTGGCTCCCTCTTTCTGCCGTTGTAATGAGCGTCAACTTCAGCTGTGGCGTGAACAAAGTTTGGTCCATGATGCTTAAGATACTTGAAAGATGAGTGAATATAGATTTGCCATCAACATGGAACGACTATATATACATATGTTCTCCTAGGATTTCCTAGGATTTCAGGCAGACGTGCCGGAATGGACTATTCCGTATTCTGGCCAATAGGCGTTCGTGAAGCGCAGTAAGGATGGAAAACGGCAAAGCGCCCTTGAGTTTTGGGTTAGTTATTCCGAAGATTCAAGGCTAACATCGGTATACCACGATTATGAGCAGAGTTGGCCTTAAATTGCAATACGAGTTGTATTGTCGAAAATGAATGACTCAGATTGTCTTCGTAGAGTTAGGATCTCTGCTAATATGTGAACCAGCTCCCACGATTTATTCTTTCATTACGCATGAATCCTCACACAGAACAAGACTTCTCTGTTAATTTGTCTAGCATAAGTCACGCATAGTAGATGCAGTACTATTACTACTGGTAACATCTACTCATGCACAAGTTAGATGTTTTTGCTTGCTCACTTATGCACACTGATTACTTCTTCTGCGAAAAGTGAGAAGGTGGTTTTATCGACCCCGAATATCCAAAAAGCCAATTCATGAATATCCTTCATCTGCAAATTAATATGAATTTCGCTATGTAAAACAAATGATATACAGCCATCAACTCAGTGACAGTTGAAGCATACGCGACGTTTTGTTAGCGCAGCCATGTCTTGGCACTCCCGAATCTCCGGCCGAACTTTTGGCACCACCGCAGCCACCACCGATATCTCCAACGCCGCAATGGCACACCCACGATCGTTAATAGCGCCTTTGGGCCGGCTCGCGACCTCATCAATTGCCGCTGCGCGATCCGAAGTACCGCGCATTGCTGCATTGCCATACCAGACGATACGATGCGCAACGACCAAAGCACAGCCGAAGAAAAAGAAGAAGACGCGGAACACATTCCTGCAATATGACTTGAAGCAGGCAGACCAATTCTCGCTGATAGATGCGATGCAGTAAGTCTCTGGCTAGGGCTCTGGAGTGCCGCCAATGGCAAGGGCAGGTGTTAACGGGGGAATAGATATATCCGCGCCTTCGAAGTAGGCCGTAACCCCTCCTCCTCAAAATACGAGATGCATGTTCGCTTGCGCACGCTGAAGAACGGTCCCGTTGTGCGAAACCGCTTACGACTCCCACATCCCGTCAAGACCGACATACGGATCTGTGTCATTGCCGCACCAGACTCCAAGGCCGCCACTGAAGCTCGCGCTGCGGGCGCCACGCTTGTCGGCGAAGACGAAATCTTCAACCAAATCAAGGAAGGTATTGTTGAATTCGACAGGTGCATATGCCACATCGACAGTCTACAGAAGATGAACAAGGCGGGGCTAGGACGAGTGTTGGGTCCCAAGGGCTTGATGCCCAGCACAAAGACTGGCACAGTAGTCACGCAAGTGGGTACAAGTGTGAGGAACATGGTGGGAGGAAGCGAATATAGGGAACGTCTAGGCGTTGTTCGCATGGCAATAGGACAGTTGGGATTCACGCCAGACGAGATGCAAAGAAATATCAAAGCATTCATGGAGGCGCTCAAGAAGGACATGGCACAATTGAGCGACCGGATTGGCAAGGAAATTCACGAGGTAGTACTCAGCTCGACCAATGCGCCAGGTTTCACATTGAGCGGAGAATTTAGAGGACCCAATTCGATAGCACCAAAGGAGCTGAGTGGACCTTTGTAGATGTAGCCCTAGGAGTGGGTGTATGAACAATGTACCATACCGAACGCCGTCGCTATGCTGGTGTCAAGATCTCCCATTATGATGACTTTAATGTCTTGAGAAGTTTGACAGCTTCTGCCGATTCCTCCATGTCCGCGTAAATCTTCATAATCTTCATGACGCGCCCTGATCCGTCTGCTCCCGCGCTCTTCGCCTGCCGTAGTGCGGTATTCAAGTCCATCAATAATGTAGTCCGCACTTTTGTCTTTCTTGCAGCCTGCGCTGCGACAAAAGGATGCTCATCTAGTTCTTTTTCCAACCCCAGCAGCAACTGGTACTGTACTACATTTCGTCTTAATTTTGCGACGGAAATAGTGTAGCTTCCCTCCTCTTCGTCTTCATCCTCATCCTCGTCGCTATCCGAGACCTCTTCCCCGACTATAATAGGCTCTTTACCCAACGTCTCAATCATGAGCTCGGCCTCCAACTCCTTGAGCCTAGCGTCGTAGTCTATGAGCCGTCTGCCGACTTCGATTTTATGCCTGACATCGCGCTTTTCTTCTAGTAGCTCGCGCACCTCTTCCTCTCGCTTGCCGACTACATTCATCAATCCATCAATCTCCTTTCGGAAGCCCAGCAGCCCCACCCTGACTTCTTCCACCTTTTCCTCGCCGCCATTCAAGCTGTTTCCCAAGTTCAAAAAGTCTTGGTAGTTTGAATTGACGAGGTCGAGAAGCTCTTTGGATAGAAGCTGGGATCGCGAGCGCAACTCTGAGCGTAGGTCCTCGAGCGTTTGGTGGCGGTTATGTAGGGTAGAAAGATAACTTGCAGGCGAGAAGTCTGGAACGAGGAAATCGGAGCGGCGGAGCGGTGTCGCAAAGGGAAGAGTAGAGATGTTGTCGTCATCAGAGTCGTCGCTGGATCCAGAGCGCGAGTCTGCGCCAAACTAGACAAAAGGCGTGGTCAGTCGCACAGATCTACTCCCTATTGCGCTTGTTGTGGAAATCGACGAGGGGTGTGTGTGTACATACTTGGAATTGACTCATGGCTGCCGTCTTTGTTCCATCGATACGTCGTGTGCTGGGGTGATGATGCCAGAAGTTCAAATAAACTAATCGATAAGCTTCGGAACGTGGACCGAGGTGTCGGAACAAGCGTGCTGGCGGGTTTGTAATGTCGAGCCGATTAGCGGCCCCCTCGTCTGTGGGGTACGACGGCAAAGTAGAGTGCATATACACTACGTCAAGCGCTGGTTTTGTTTTTCTCCTGCACTTCGTCTTCGGGTGTTCGCGATAACTTTGTCCGTTTGAGCTAGTTTCAAGCCTTGCATTTGCACATTTAAAGGATTATTTTCTGTATACTTATAGATATACATTGGCTTCCTCCTCCTTCTCCGCCACTCTCCGACACGATAAGAGTGTCAGATCACATTGTCTATAGTTTAGTACAATGCTACCGCAGCCAGACCTCCCTGAGCCAGCACACCCGGGAGTCGATTCGATGCTGAGCCGCAAGTTTGGAAAGGAAGTAGCCAATTACTTCTCTGGTACGAAGACACGCGGCCTATCTACTCTTGGAGACGCTTATCTCTAACACTGGCATGCAGGGTCTCCATTAAATCGTGTGGGTTTCCTTCGTCCCGACCACCAATTTCTGTCTTCGGCACTACACCACCCATCTTCTACTTTCCTTCTCTTCAATAAACTCGAGCCGCTCGTCAAGTCAGCCACCGAGCTTGCTCGCTGTACTTTCTCGGATGTTAAGCCAATCATTGGCGACAACCCGTTTGAGAAGTCCGAGGAGGATGTCATTGCGCAGTACAATTCAACTCTGTATACGCCGCAGATTATCTTTTTGGGACTGGATGAGAGGAAAGATGGCTTCAAGTACAAGGAGCATTACAAGGGCCAGCCGTGGTTCGCCGTAGATGTCACGCCGCAAGAAAGCGTCAAGGAAAAGGCAGAGGAGTTGATCAAGAAGTTCGAAGAGCAGGGATTGGAGTTCAGCAAGGGACGGATGCATATGAGTCTGCCCGCCGAAGAAGGTACGCAATCATCATTCTCTCATACTATACATTTTCAACACAGAAGTAACTCGGCAACTAACACGCAACAGCGGCTATCTACGCCGAAGCCCGCCACCTCCTCGACTGGAACGCCCGAAACCCCTTCTGCGCCTCATGCGGCTACAAGACGCTCTCTGTCAACGCCGGGTTCAAGCGTACATGTCCGCCCAAGGACATTGCATCCAGCATTGATCAAGGCGAGCGACCACCCTGCGCTACTCGTACTGGCATCTCCAATCTCTCTTTCCCACGTACTGACCCCACCGTCATCATGGCGGTCGTGTCCGCCGACGGCAAAAAGATCCTTCTTGGTCGTCAAAAGCGGTGGCCCCCGAACTGGTATTCTACCCTCGCTGGATTTCTCGAGCCAGCCGAGAGCGTCGAGGAAGCCGTCCGTCGCGAGGTCTGGGAGGAATCCGGTATCCATCTTGGTCGTGTGGTTATTCACTCTACACAGCCATGGCCGTACCCTGCTAACCTTATGATTGGTGCGGTTGGCCAGGCGATTCCGGAGGGGGAGACCATTCATCTGGGCCACGATGCCGAATTGGAAGACGCAAAGTGGTTTACGGCTGAGGAGGTTAGGGAGGCGTTGCGTGTGGGGACGAGTGGGCTGGGAGAGGGTGCTGGGCCCGAGTATAAAGAGGGTGGGCTGAGGTTGCCACCTAAGACGGCGATTGCGAATCAGCTTATGACGGCGGTTGTGAATGGGTTCGCGAGCGGAGGCCCGATGATTTAAGCATATTAGTGGGTATATGAGAAAGTGTAGTTGTAGATGTAGAAGTAGAAGTAAACAAAGAAGACGGTCTCGGGGATAGAGGCACATGTTTCTCGTAGACTTATGTTGTTTCTATTTTGTATGTACTTGGTAACCTACTCCAGTACAATGTACTTGCGCAAGTGTTCGGGTATAGCATCGTATAACTTTTTCTGTTCCAGCCACTTCTTGGAGAACAGACGGTCGGCATATCGGTATGCGCCATCACACAGCAGTGTGACGACTGTTGATCCCTTACCCAGCTTCTCAGCTACTTCCTTGGCTGCAACAACGTTTAGACATGAGCTAGCGCCCAAATAGAGACCCTCCTCATCTAGACATCTGTACACCATTTCAATGGTCTTCTCATCGCTAATGTGTACAGAGCCGTCAAGGAGATCAATGTCTGGCTTCAGGTTGTCTGTTACACGGCCTTGGCCGATACCCTCTGTTATGGAACCACCAGATCGCTCTGTGAGCTTGCCACCAC